CCAGCAGAGTGCAGGCTGCTGGGGAAGCTGTTGATGGGTGTGAGCACTCTCCAGCCCTCCAGGGCTCGGGGGCTGCTCTGCAGAGACCCCATCACTCACACTTTCAKGCCTGCCAAGCCACAGGCACAGTAATTGCAAGCCAGATACCCTCCCCACTTCCGAAGCAGTGCGCTCCGGCAGGGACCAGGCACAGGGGCTCCCATTTCCGCCTGCCTCCGGCTGTTACGGAGCAGAGACGTGACAGAGAGCAGCCCCGGGGCAGAAAGGGCTGCGAGGAGAGACAGCAACCAGCACTCTGATAAGGCAGGTCCCTGCTGAGCACCTCCTTGCTTTTGAGATAACGCATCCCCGGCACTCTCTGAAGGATACCTGTGCTCTCTGCAGGTTGTGCCCTTGCACGGATTGTTGCCTGCTCCAGCTCATCCTCTCTCCCCACGGAGTCAGACCCCAGCCCCAAATTCCAGGCCCATGAAGAAGGGAAAGCCCAGACYGATGGGAGCAGACCCAGGATTTCAGATGAGCACACAAGCAGAGATACAACCAGAACCATCCCCACACATCACTAAGGACAAGTCTTTCCYCCACCTGACCACAGGTGAAGGTCAAAAAGTCACCTGCAAAGCAAAGAGACTGTGGGGGCTCTCCAGCCCTCCCTGGGCTGATGCTGCTCCTGATGAGTCTGCACAGGGATCATCACCTCAAGGGGATGGACAAGATGCCATGTCCCTTCACTGGATCCAGATTCAACATCCCACTCACAGCCTCAGCAATGGTCATGGACAGAGTCACATCAGCAGCTCTTGGGCTTTTCAAGCCAGAGGCGGTGGAGCTTTCAGCAAACACAGCTGAGAAAAAAAAMCAAGCAGTCTCAAGTTAAAACCTTTCACGGGCTCCAGCAGGCACCAGTGCTAGCAGAACCAGAGGGTGTCACCCTGCATCAATCCCAACATAAACCTTTCGCTGTCAACACCGGCTAAAGAGCTCACAAAAGCTGCCCCATGCACAGCCCTGCCTGCACTTCAGCCAAACTGATGGACAGAGGCTGCTTGTGTGGCTTTATCTGGCTGGAAAGCCCTCCTTAAGATAGGAGACTGCTTGTCCTGCTGGAAGGATCTGCAGGTGCCTGGAGCCCCYGGCTCAGTCCCAGACTGTCATTTGGCTGGACTGGGTTCAGTCAGTTCCCCATCTCCCACAGCCTTGCTGTAGAAGAGGCTATCTGTTGTCTAAAAAATAACACAAGGAAAGCTTGCATCCAGGGAACTGCTTCTCTTTGAGGCCATTCCTCAAACCAGAGCACAGGGCAGTCATACAAAACCTATTTTCATAGGGAAACACTACAGGCAGTCCCTGCAGCACTTCTCACATCTCTTACGCCTGCCATGCTATTCTCTGCAGGAGTGGGTACTGGGCTTTGGTGGGATTCTTCCCAAACAAAAAGGGCAYGGTTGGGATGCAAGACCAAGGAGAGGAGGCAAAACAAGCCACATCCTTAGGGAAGGTGTCATCATTCGAGTGTTCAGGTAGGCCTACAGCAGGGACCGTGAGAAAGCAGCATCTGGATCCTGCTAGGTGACGAATATGGGATGGTGCAACATCCTTCACCCCTCACCTCCATGCACAGGTGCCTCCAGACATGGCTGGACCAMTTCCATCCCTCAGCCAATCCACCTCCCTGACAAGCCCTTGTTTTTCACCAGCCCTTGAGCAAATCCGTGGCTGGAAGGACCAGCCCTGCAGCCCAGTGGACAGCACACACACCTGCTGCAGCACCAGCCACCAGCTGTTCCCTGTGCCTCACAGCATCCCACCTCRCACAGCCTCACTGCCCCCAGGAGGCTCAGCATTCTCCTGTGCCTGCATTTAAAGGCRGCCCAGGGGTGGTAAGGGTGCAGAAAAGGGCTGCCCAGGTGGAGCTGAGTTAGGAAGGGATATGGGTGAGAAATTATTGCAGAGAGGGACTAAACACAAAGCTTTGATCTGCTCTTGCAAGCTGTGCTGCCAGGGCAGAGCTCTGCCTGGATGGCTGGGCAGCCGTGCAGGGTGAAGCATTTCACAGCTTACCCCTGCCCTTGCAATAATCCCCATTTCCCCCTGCTCTGGCTCACATCCCCATGATGCCCAGGATTCCTGCAGTCCCAGCATGAGGGGCAGGTGGCAAAGCCAGCCCAGMTCTGCGTGTCCCTGCAGCCAGCTCGCCCAACCTCCCCCACAGCCAGCACCCCGCCACTYGCTGTGACTGATACAGGGAACCTGGTGCTTTTATTAAACTCTTTGCTTCCTGTTTKAAGCTTAATAATAAATTGCATGTCACATTATGGCTGTGTTTATTAAAACCCATTGGCGTGGGCTCTGCTCTGCTACAGCATTTGAATTATTGAAAGCAACCCCCCATGGAGACCTATTTGCTGCAAACGCAGGAGGATTTATTTCCATTTTGTTTATCAGGCAGCATAAGTGCTGGGTGGAGGCAGGGAAGCCGTCTTGGTCTTTTTAGTTTCTCCCTGAGCCCCTACAGCAGAGTGAAGAGGTGCTGTGCAGAGCAGAGGAGGGAAAATGCCACCCCCCACAGGGGTGGGGACAAGTTTGGGACAGAAGTCCTGGGGGGAGTTGGTCTCTCTGCCCTGAAGCTCTCTCTGGCTCTGGTTGAGTTCTCYTCTTGTAARTYGCTTCRTGCCTCAGTTTACCTGTTTGTAGAGCAAGGTTACAGTGCTGCTTCCATCCAGGCACAACCAGTGATCAGCTCAGGCTCGATGAGCCTCTGCCAAAAGCCATCAATGGGAGATGCCCACAGCACGGGGGGATGGTCAGGGTGGCCATGAGGGGTGTGGAGGGGTTTTGCAGCCCTGGTTCAAAGCAGACACCCAAAGCTTGCAGCTGAACATCTCCAGGCTCTGCCTCATCCCAGCTCTGCCAGCTGCAGCCATCCAAACCAGCGTCAAGAGGATGCTCTGGCTCTGGGGATCATCCTGAGTGACAGCTCAAACTCATGTCCCTTGCCATGGCATCGCCCCTCGCAAMAAGGCAGAGGTTCTGCCAGGGCAGGAAGAGGCCATGGAGCAGGCTCGGATGGATTCGAGGGTCAGGGTGCTCCAGGGGTGTCCTTGCAGGCTGCCCAGCACTCTGGCAGGGCTCGSAGTGGCCGGTGGCTTTGCCAGGAGATGGCACTGTTTAGCGGCTAATCACGGCCCTGGCCCCAACGGGGCTCGGGGATGGACGAGCAGATGCTCCACAAGAAGCGTGGCCAGCAGGTAGAGRGAGGCGGTTCAGCTCCTCTGCTGTGCTTTTGTGAGACCCCACCTGAGTGCTGTGTCTTGCTCTGGAGCTCCCAGCATGTGCAGAATGTGGACCTGTCCTGGAGYGAGTCCTGAGGAGAGCCATGAAGATGCTCAGAGGGCTGGAGACACACTGAGAGAGCTGGGCCTAAATAGGCTGGAGAAGAGAAGGCTCCAGGGAGACCCTAGAGCACCTTCCAGAACCTAAAGAGGCTACAAGAGAGCACCTTCCAGAACCTAAAGGGCTGGAGAGGGACTTTTGACCCATGTAGTGACAGGACAAGGGAGAATGGCTTTAAACTGGAAGAGAGTAAGTTCACATCAGATATTAGAAAGAAATCCTTTTTTTGTGAGAGTGGTGAGGAACCGCCTTAGGTTGCCCAGAGAAGCTGTAGACTCCCCACTCTTGGAAGTGTTCTAGACCAGGCAGGATGGGTCCCTGAGCARCYTGGTGTAGKGGAAGGTGTCCCTGCCCATGGCAGGGGYGTTGGAGCTAAATGACCTCTAAATGCAGCTGGAGCTGAGAACAGGATCTGCAGAGCCTGGGGTGACCCACTTTTTGGGGCAGGGGCTGCAGGAAACRTCAGAGCAGCCAGCAGCAGAGGTAACTGAATGTTTTTAGAGCCAACAAATAACCTCAATTAAGCTCTGTGGCAGTGACCGATTCCAGCCGTGCAGCAATATTGGTTCCTTTAATTTTTAAGTGGCTGGAAATGGCAATACTGGGAACTGGGACAAGGAGACACCAGACCCCTCTGTGACCCTGGAGCCACTCTGCTGCCCTTCCCTTGGGGGGAGTGGAGCTCAAACACTGGCTGAGCTCCAGCGTGCCAGTCAGACAGCCCTCTCCCACAGTGGGATCAGAGGAGATGGGGTGACACAGCCCTTTTTTGGTTCATTTTGGCCAAGGGCTTTTTCTTAAGATCCTACTGCTCACACACCACATCCCCACTGCTCTGCCAGGCAGGAACACCGGCAGCCCCTGCCAGCCACCTCCAGGGCATCACTGGGTGTGAAGCTGAGGGGGACAAGGACTGAGACCAAAACGCAGTCACCCAGGCAGGGCATTGTTCTGCAGAGCTTTTGGGGAGCCAGGAGTGTGTGACCCATCCGACACTCTCCAGCCAGACCAAAGCTGTCTCCACACCCAGCACGACCTGGATTGGTGCCAGCACAGGCACGGCCAGCCTGGCCCTGAGGAGGGTTGGCATGGCAGCCCTGGCTGGGGGCCAGCCCCCGGCACCGGCAGGGAGCCCAGCAAGCAGCTCCTGACTGCTGAAGCTCCGGGACACTCTCGGATTTCCCCGTGGCAGCCTCAGCCTGAGCATGGCCCAGTTCCACCAGCTYATTTGTGTGCAAAACAGGAAAGGCATCAGGGTGGATAAAAAAAGGTTCCAGCTTCTCTAAATGCATATTTCACACCCAAAAAAAAAGCAAAATAAAAGCCAGTGGCACACTTCTGTCCCTGGTCTCTCCTGAACACCCTCCAACTCAGATGGAGCAGCCCAGGAGGATTCTGTTCTGTTGTTAAATAGAAGGAGAAACTGAGGCACGGGTGGCTTTTGCATTTCTCTGGCTGAGAAGGAGTTTGCTGCCAGAGAGGGCAGGCACTCCAGCAGGCAGGGCTGTGGTGCCCCACTGAGCYGTGGTGCAGGGGGCCAGGACTGGCCCAGCCTCACCGTCTGCAGGAATTTTGCTCTGCTGCCAACTCCAGACAAATCCCTTTTATTTGCTTGTTCAGGTTTCAGTGCTGTAATTGTGTTGTCTGAGCCAGCTCTCAAGAGAAAAAGGAAGAAAAGAAAAGAAAAAACATGTGAAGGAGAATAGCACAGCACCCGAGCCGCCAGCCTTATTGCATCCTGCCTGCTCCTGCCTGGGGTCTGGCCAATTCTTTCCTCACGGGGTCTGGCTCCCTGCTGCAGCTCTGGACCTCCCTGGAGGTGGGACTGAGTAACTGGAAGTGGTTTGGTCCATAYTGAGGTTTTGAGCACCAGAAGTCTTATAAATGCTGCTGGTTTGGGGGRTAAAGCCCCCCTTGAATGTGAGCTCAGCCCCAAAATGCCCATAGGCAGGGGTGCTGACAGCCATCTCTGGGCTTTGAGCAGCACAGTGCAGCTCTGAGCTTCCTTCCTGTGTTCCCCCCAAATAAAAGTTTGGTCTAAATCTGGAGTTTGGACCAGTTCTGGGAGGTAGGGGAGGTAGATGGGATTTTTTTTTAATATAGCATTTCCAGTGGAAATTGGAGCAACTTTGTCCTTCGCCAACTAGGAACAGGGATGCTCCACACTTCACAGGGCAGTGGACATCAGGGTAGAGACCCCAGTGTCACAGAACACAAGATCCCAAGATGAAAATGGGCAGCAGAGGGATGGGATCCAAGAACATGGGAGTACAATGATCTGGGCTGATGCATCCAAATGATGGCACTGGAGATGGTCTGCTCTCCCCCATCCCCATGTGGGGTGAGAAGGGCAGGTCCCACACCAGGATGAGCTGTGAACACTGGGATGGGCAGGAGGCCTCCTCAGCTTAAGCACCCCACAGCCGACAACAAAACATCCACAGTGTTTGCAGCCTCCCTCACCCCCATAAYTTTCCTTGGCTAGCTTTGGCTTTGACCTACGTGGATATTTTAAATAACATCAACTGAAATGACAAAGGAAAGCATGAAGTCAGTCRAAGGCATGGAAGGGAAAACATGAARTCAGTCAAAAAAAGGCCAAAGTGTTTCTGACCACTGGAGCGCTTCAGCTGGAGTAAAGACACAACTGAAAGCCACAAGCGTCTGGTTTCCTCAAATCACTACTTTTCTGGTTAAAAACAAAACAGAAGAGAAGGTTGYTTTGGCAGCAGGTTCCTCAGGTTCTGGGTAGAAGCCGGGATGTTTCTGTGCTTGGGGGATACAGAGTAAACGTGGGGGTGACACACCGGTTATCACAGCCAGGTCCCAGCTCTCTGCTCCAAAAATGGTTCATACCATTGGCCTCACTCTCCCAAAAAGGGCTGCCTCCATCCCCAGCACCAAGTCCTCATCCACACACAGCACAGCTGTCCCCACAGTGTCCTTTGTGTCTCCACTCAGTGCCAGAGGACAGACCCACCCTGCTCCAGGCAGAGCTGCCCCTGTCCSAGCCCTTGCACCAACCAGCCAGTATCCCATCCCCCAGCACCCCAAAAGGATGTGTCATCCTGCCCCCCACCCCAAAAACCAGGCTGGTGTGCCAGGATTACTCAGAGAAGGAGTTTTGGGCCGGAGRGTGCTTTTTCCAGAGATGTCCCCAAACCCCAGGGAAGGGTCACTGTGGGCAAGGTGATCTCTGCAGCCCGACGTGCTGTCTCTGGGCTAGTAGTAGTCCTCCTCGCTCTCCCCGTAGTCCTCAGGTGCCATGTGGGCCTTCGGCAGGGAGAAGTCTGTCAGGTTGAGTTGGTCTGAAATGGCAGCATGGGCACAATGTGACATTGCCACCCTGCAGTGCCTGTCCCCATCCCCACCAGGACCAAAGCCAAACCAAGCACGGCAGCTTTTGGGGCATCCCCAAAAGGACAGTCCCACGCTCCGGCAGCTCCTGCCATGCTGGTGCACTCTGCCCAAACATCCCCTCCCCTGTCCCCAGCAGAGATAGGGACTGGTGTTCACCTGGTGTGAAGACGGTCAGGCTGGCCAGTGCCACCACCTCCCCGACCCTGTTCCTGGCRAAGCAGCGGTACGTGCCCTCATCCGTCACCCGCACACCCTGGATCTGGAGCCAGCCTGTCACTTCGTATTTCTGGGGGCCGCCTCTGAACTGCAAGAAGGGGGATTTCTGTTAGCACTTGTGGCAGAAGCAGGGGGAATCTGTGCCACAGAGCCTGGGTCCCCTGGTTCAGCAGGCAGTGAGGTCCCAGGGTTGCTTTGGCAGTAACCATGCTATTTTCTGTTTATCCCCAGGAATAAATAAGCTTTTCCTGACCCAGCTGGGCTGCAGCTGTGTTTGCAGGCTGCTATTATGCTGTGGTAGCCAGGGGTGGAGGACAGTAGTGTTTCCTCCAACCAGGCAGGGCTTGGGGTGAAGATCCTCAGTCAAACCCCGTGACAGGCTGTGGGGAGGCTTGAAGGACAGAAAGATGGAAAGGGGCCACGATGCCAGGTTCCACCTGCTCCCCTGGTTCCCTCCCTCCATCCATCCCAGCACAGTTTTTTCCCTGCTGGCTCCTGGCTGAGAAGCATTGTCCCTTTGCCTCTGCCCACACCCTCTAATAGCTAGGTACACCCAGCTGGGTGCTATATTTGGGGCTGGCCGCAGGCAGGATGCTGACCCCTGGGCTGGCCAGCTCTGGGAAGGAAGCCCTGCTGATGGGAAAAAAGGGCAGGAGAGTGCTGGCAGGACCAGTCTGAGTGTGCTGGTAGGACCAGAGGACAGTCCAGGCTGGAAGGCACTCGGGAGGTTCTCTACTCCAGCCCTTCCAGTGGGACTGCAAGTGAAGCCAGCACGCACAGCAAACTAAAGGCAGGGAGGTGACAAAACCTGCTGCAGGACTCTACAAGCTCAAATATGAGTAAGCTCAAAAACTACTGGAGGAAATCACAGAAGAGGCCTGTGCTGATGGCTCCTACCCCTGAGACAGCAGCCCTGGTCCAGTCAGTCTTCATGGTGTGCAGCTCCAGCCATCCCTTCCCACGCCCAGGCAGCCAGGCTTGGCCATTCCCAGAGTATGATCACTCTTAGGTCTGGTTGYCCATGAGCTCTCAGAAGCACTGGGTCACTCTGGGTTGTCTTCAAAGCCCTGGGCACACCCCTCACCTGGACAGAGATGTGGGGGTCATCTCCAGGCAGCAGCATCTCTGTGCCATCCTTCCTCCACTCGATGGATGCCATGGGGTAGGCAAAGACCTCACAACCGAAGATGACGTCCTGCCCKGTGATGTTCCACGTGTCATAGGGAGGAGAGGTGATCTGAGGCTCTGGGGGATACAGGAGAGCAAGGTGGGCTCAGAAGAGGCCCCACTCTTGGCAGRTCCCATGGGCTCTCTCGGGCTGGTCTCTGGAGCAGCAGCATTTGGTTCACACAGAGATGCTGGGACCCTTCCCGTGCCTCTCTCCTCTTGCAGCCATGGCAGACCCTCACCTTTCCCAAGGACATGGTCCCTCCTCACAGCTGGTACTGAGAGCTCCCTCCCCAGCCCCCTCAGCCCATGGAGGGTTGCTGTCCCTCCTGTCCCTGCCTGTGCAATGATGCTTGAGGGACACATGCAGCAGGAACAGGGTGATGACAGCAATGTCACAAAGCAAAGCTCTCCTGAGCAATCGATTGGAGCACACTCCTCCTGTGGGGCAAAGGCCAAGGGGTGCTCGTCCAGCCCGAGGCTGGTGAGGATGGATGAGGTAGCTGAGCTTCCAGCCAAATGAGGCCTCTGCTCTGACACGGGGCTCCTGCCAGCAGTGGAGGGAGTCAGCAGATCCCCATCTGCTGGATGGAGCCAACACCTCCAGGTTCCACATCCCTTCCCTGGAGGGATGGAGTGAGGACTATCCTTCTTACCCACACCTGCTCCATGATCTGGCCCATAGCATGAGCCAGAGGTCAAGGGAAGGTTTCCACCTCCAAATATACCTGGAAAACACTCAAGAACATGATCTATGGAAAACACTCAAGAACATGATCTATAGAAAACAAGGTCAATCTTGATATGTCTCGGGCTGTGGTGACAGCACTGGGTGACCTGTGCCAGACTGGGGAGGCTGGGGCATGGTCTTCCTGCTAGACTGTCCACTCTCAGCCCCCACCTGAATTTTATAAGAGAGATGRAAATCACACAGCCAAGCCAAACCAACCCTGGGTTCTATTTGCAGGAGGCAGGCACATTGCTCGGGAGCAACAGGCCAGCATGAACCCAGCACTGCCGCCAAGAATTYGCTAACAATTCCCTGGAACTTCCCCATCTGCTCCAGCAGCTCCAGAGCTTCCCATTAGCTCCACTCCCTCTTGGCAAAGCTGCTCCCAGATTTCTCCAAGCCCTGGACGTGCRAGGGGCTCCCCCAGAGCAGCAGGGTGGGGGGACTAGAGGGATTMTGACACTGCATRGAGCAGCCCCCAGTGCTGCCAYGTCCCTGTGGTTTTGCTGCCAGATKAAACAGTTAAACCAGACCCCYTTATTCGCYTCTCCACACAGCTCCAGGGGCACTACCTGACTCGCAGGGACCCTCGTGGGCCACGGTGAGGTTGGCATCAGGGTGGGCATGGGCAGCCTCCAGGAACCTGCAGATCTGKGCGTAGGTTTTGCCGTCGGAGCCGCAGAGGGCCAGGTGGGAGACGCAGGCACACTGGGGCTCGGGCACCTCTCCGTGGCGCAAGTCCCCGGCATCCAGCCGGCACTCCAGGTGCTCCCCACACTTGCCGTAGAAGTGGTTGGTGTTGTCCAGGTCGCAGATCTGYCCCTCCAGGTTGGCACATTCCCAGCAGCAGTCGCAGGCATCCCGCACTGTGCCAGCCAGGCACCCGCGTGGCGTCGGGCACTCCTCTGGCTGGCACTCAGCACAGCTCTCCCCTTCCTCCAGCAGCCGCTGCCAGCCCCGCTGGAGGTAGTCAGAGGTGCTGGGAAAAGCCTGGCCCAGCTGGAGCAAAGCCCAGTGCAAGGAGAGCAAGGAAAGCACGAGGAAAGAGATGCTAAGGGGCTTGGCTTCAGACATCCTCACGGCAGATCCTCTATCCCAATTCCACTGTCACTCGGATGGGGTTCTCTGGCACTGCTCTGGTCTTCCTGTCTAGATCTGAGGAGCCATCCTGGCCTGTAAGGAGGGAGGACAGGTGTTAACGGTGCAGGAAGTGTCCTCCCTTTTTTAGCTCCTGGCTGGCTCACCCAGAGCAGCAGCACTGCAGCCCCACGGCCACAGCCTTTGTACCCTGAATCTCCCCAAGCAGCTCCCCGCCCTGAGACACCCAATATATTCTGGAGGGATAGAGCTGATGACCCCAGCCCCACCAGGTTTCATCCTTGTGCTCTTGGCAGCCCAGCGTGCAAASTCCAGCCTCCTCTGACCCCAGAATAGCCTGGGAAGCCACAGGGCTAGCAGGGCACCGGACAGGCTGTTCTACAACATTATGGTTCAGCACATTCCTACCCCGCTCTTGCTCTCCTGTCAGAAAGCTGCTCTCCAGCCCCTTTCCTTTCCCCATTGCTTTGCAAGAGTCATGAGCCCTTTTTTAGTCCCTCACCATCCATACAAGCACAATGGAGTGGCTGATCCTGCAGACAAGGTATTCTTTCTGCGCTGGAGGCAGCCAAGCCAGGAGGATGTTCCCAGTCATGCCTGGCTTTTGTTCTCCTTCCCTTCCTGCACTGTAGCACCTCTTTTTAGGCACCACCCACCTGAGCAGGGGGGAAAATGCCCACTCCCCAGAAGGTTTTGTGACCCCCTCAGCTATCACTCAGGCAACTRTGTACAAAAGGCTGAGCATGGAGGAGCTCAGTGCACAGGTGGGCAGCCAGTGGACTGACAGCAGCCCCCGTGTGATCAGCCTGTCCCCGCACAGCAGGGTCCCTGCCCTCAAACCCCAACCCTGCATTACCTACTCAGGGTAACAGAGGCTGATCTACTCCGGGCTTCCCATCTCTGCTGGGGGAGGGGGACGAAACGTGGCATCTCAGAGCCTGTCCCCAGAGAGGGTGACAATGAACCAATTCCCTTTCTGAATATCTCTCCCTGCCCCCTGTTACACCCTGGCTGCCTTCCCTGAGATGGAGTGAAATTATGGTCCCCTGCCCCAGGGCAGCATAAGCGAGCGCGGCTGGGGAGGGGACCCAGGCAGACAGGCTGTCCCCTCCCCTCCCGCTGGGAACAGCACCGAAAGGCAAGCTGCAGCCCCCCGCCCCACTCTCGGGCTAACACAGCCCAGGGCTGGGGTGGGGACGGCCCCGGTAGCGGGTTACACATATGCACCCCCGGATAAAAACCCGTGAAGATTTGACCCGTTTACCAGAGACCACCGAGCCCCCCAGGGGTGGAATGGAGCAGAGGGTCCCAGCGCCGGAGCCCTCCCCCGGCCCACCCTACCCCGGTCTGTCCGGAGCAAGGCTCCGTGCGCCGGTGGAAAGGGTACGGGGGAACGGCAGAGTTGGTCTCTAGCTCCCTAAGTCCGGGGTACAGGCACAGAGGGCTCTGCAAGAGTGCTGGGTAGAGGCACGACGTCCCCTGAGGTTCCCCAGGAGCCACCCCGCCATAAGCCGCCACTTACCGGAGGCGCCGGTGCCGGCGGCCGCGGATGCGCAGTGGCCGTGGCGGCGGGGCTGCTGGCCCCCGGGGCTGCTGGCCCCCGGCCGCTCCGGCACCGCCGTGATGTCAGCGAAACGTGAATCCCCCCGCCCCTCTCCGGGCCCGCGGCCCGTCCCTGGACCGGGACACGGGCTGGCCGGCACCCCTTCCCTGCCGGCATCCCGCCACGCACCGCATCCTGGCCCCGGGGCTCTGCCGCTCTGGCTCCCTGGCACCGGCACCTCCCCKCGGATCCCCACCCTGGGGTCAGCCCCCAGCTGTGTGCGGGGCCTGGGCTAATGCTCGGGTGCCTCCATGGGGCAGGAGGGGACTGGGSTCCTCCTTTGCTGTCCCACTTTGCACGAGTCCTTGGGGACAAGTGAATGGGAGAGGTGGTCATGGCTAAGGAAGTGTCAAAAGCATCTCTCAGCCTGTARTTTGGTTGGGAAACAGACTGAAAAGTTGAGCAGCTGCCGTAAGTAAATGGGGGGAAGCTCAAGCAAAGCAGGACCCATCTAAAGATCTGGTTTCCTTCACCATGCTGCAAAAATCTGCTTTTGCTTTCCAACACCCTCCTGCAAATTCGTTCCGGGTTCCAGGGCTTTTGCTCCGTCACGTTGTGAATCCAGCCATGTCTAACGATGGAAAATRCGGCAGCTTCAGCCCCCTTAAATCTGTCTTTGCAGGCCAACTTCCCCCTCCAGCCCCCTGCTGCAGAGAGAGCTTTCCTGCCTGCTCTGCCTTCAGAGGCCTTCAGCCTCACGTCCCACTCCCCCTCAGTGGCCCCCAGCCCCTTGGCTCAGGGCTGCCTTCCTCTCTGGCTCCCCTTGTCCTGCCTATTGAGTGAGGTCCCCACATGCCACAAGATTTCAGGTCCAACATCCACGAGCTGCTGAGCAGCTGGGGYTGCAGCTGTTTTGGGAGAAGGGAAATAGTCAGGAATGGCTGASGTTTTCCTACACTCAGTCCCAGGGCAGGGTCAGAGCCTGAGCAGAGATGAGACAGACTGTAGGTGACCCAGGCATGGGTGCTGAGCCTCCTGGGCTATCCCTGCCATGCCATCATTCCCTCCTTGGGATGAAGGACTGCCTGCAYATTCAGGCATCCCTGCACCAAACACACCCTCACTTACCCCTGCTTCACCAAGGGGGCAAAGCAGTGAGGCAAAGCCTGGCCCCAGATGCCACCTTCTACACACGAAGTGCCTGGCCAGCACAAAAACAGTCCCCACTCAAATCGCAGGCGCTGCTGAAAACAGGGACCATCAGCGTTTCAGGTTATTTGCATCTCTTGCCCTTGGCAAGGTGGTGAGGGGGAACAGGCCCCAGTGCTGCTCTTCCCTGCACACAGTTCCTTCTCTCATGTGCCATGGCCCAAGCCCCTGGTGTGTCCCCATCTTCATGGGATTATCGTGGCCTCTGGGTGGCTGGATTCATCTGATCATCCCTGCAGTATCAGCCACTAACAAGAGAGAACCCCTGGCCAAAGGGGAAATCCAAACACAGATCTGAGCAGGAACAACTCCAGTCATGGAGAAACACCATCCAGCACCTGAAAGCCAAGGGCTCAACAAGATGGAGCTCAAACCTGGCAGTTAATTAAACATCCTGCTTAATGAGGCTATTGAATGTGCTAATAAACACATAGCATAATAGCAGCTATGAATGAAGGGTGGAAGATCTAATCTGTGCATAACAAGGAGTTCTGCTCAATCACACCTCAAGTCAATCAACACAGCCCCAGCTGCAAATGGGGTTTGTGGCTGTTGTTGCTGGGGGAACACTGTGGAGGAAAGGGTGATCACAGCCCTGCATGGCCTGGCACTTGGGTAAATTGCATTGCTGGCTCCCTACCCATGCTGGCTATTTATCTCTCATTTTTCCTCACTATCCTTGAGCCTAGTGAAGCTCCAGCAACTGGGTTTTGAAGGTTGAGTCTTAAGCACCAAAGCTTCCTCCTCTCTTCCTGGTTGATCCCCATCACTGTTTTCCCATCTTGTGATGGGAAGGCAGGAGTCAATGGGTGCTCCTGGCARGCCGACATCCATGGCATCCCTCCAGAGCTCTGTCATCAGAATGAAATCCAGAAATCCATCACATCTGATCAGGGGTACCACACTGCTCCTGGCCCCAGTGACTCTGCCACAGCTTTGGGCTGATGTCCCAGACCACCCCACGGCGATCTGGGGTTTACAGGAGATGAGGCCAAGGGAAAAATCCACTCTGGAAAAAAAGCCCTGGGCCAAGTGACTCAATGTATGTCATGTCACGCAGGGCTGGTGAGTAGTATTGGGCTGGGCTGGCGGGGTTGAGAATGTGGGTTATGTCACAGCAGAAGCAAATGTCACTAGAGATGTTGGGACAGAATGCTGCCAGCACATTGCCTGGGGCCATAAAGGTCTCCTAATAATAAACCAAATCTCTTTCATTTCATCACAAATACACTCTGTTTCCTGCCGTCTGACAGCCTGAAACCACTCGGTTCTGGCCAGCCCACACCAAGGCTGTGCAGCTCTCTCGGGGTCCCTGCTACGTTCCAGGGCGCCACTGTGGGGACACAAGACATGGGCAGCAGGCAGGTCCCCTCTGCCTGCGTGCCAGGCTGGATCCGCTCTGGGAAGCAACCAGGCTCAGGTTTCTCCAGGCTTTTCCAGACCGRATTCCTCCGAAGAACCTATCCGTCAGCAAATTCTTGGGGAAGCGGTTGCAGCTGTGCGCAGGGTCAGCTGGCCCCGAGGCGCGATGGCCGAATGACAAGGGACACCCCGGTTCCCGGTCTGCCCGGGGTCCCCGGCCAGAGCCGCGGCTCAGCTCCATCTCCGCAAGAACCATGCCATTTCCTCAGRTTTTCCCACCAGCCCTCTCCAAGCGCAATAACACGGGGATAGAAACCGAAAAGGCGGCGGGGGCTGCATTCCCGGGATGTCCCCGCCCCGGCACGGTCATGCCAACTTTGACACTGCGGTGCCGGGTGAGAGCGGGTCCCAGGGCCCCGTGACCCGGCCGGCTCCTCCCGCAGCCCGAGGAGCACAAACAGGAGCACAAACAGGAGCACAAACAGGAGCAGCCGCAGCCCCCCCGTGTCCCTGCCCGGCCCGCGGGGCTGTCCCGCACGGGGGTGCGGGTGGCGGTGCGGACAGGCGGCTGTGGGGTCTCTGCTGCCACCTCCAGGGCACTGCTGGCCTCGTCCTCGGCCCCTTGCGGTGACACTGACTGTTCCCGGGGGCTGCGGAGCCTCGGCATCTCAGCCCTTGTGTTCCTGCACGCTAAAAGCCCCGCTATGAACGGAGCCTGGGAGCCCTCACCGCACCGTACTGTCCTGAGCGGCATGGCACATCTTCCTGTGATGGGAGAATCTCTGTTCAGCCTGCCTTGGCCCGCATGGCTCCCCCAGACGGGGTGGGTGCTCCAGAGGGTGCTGCCAACTCAACTGGCGCTGTCGCCTTTGCCACCCTCCCTTTCCCCAGCCGCCAGACCCGCCAGCAGGGCTGGGACGCGGCCAGRGAAGGTGACCCGCTGCCAGCACCCCGGCACCCCCTGCCACTGGGGACGGGCACTGGGGAGGGGGAGCCTGYCCGCTCCCCCCTGCAAGAGGCTGCCCATTTCCAGGCGTCATTAAAGAGCAATTAGCTGGAAATTAAGCTGAGAACAAGTATTGATTAGCTCATTAAGGCTGGGGGAGCCGGCTGAGGCGGTAGGAATTTCTGCYGCTCGCCCTCATTATGGGCAAGGTTAAAGCATGTGGTCGGGCAGCTCATTAAAAATGCCAGGGACCAATCGATGTCCCCAGCCCAGCGCCGCCCAGCACCCCCAGCACCCTCGGGGACATCCAGCTGCTGTCTTTCTGGGACTGGCCCTTGACCTCTGTGATGAGACAGCTCGGGAAGGGACTGAGCATCCTTGCTCCCCTGTATCCACTGCTGTGTCCTGGGCTCCCCTACAGAGACAGCAGTGTCACCTTCTGGCTTGTCAAGCCCTCAAAACTCACCGGCCAAGTGAGTTTTCTCTCACCCAACCAGGGGACCCACGGAGACAAGTTCTCCCTAGCGCAGTGAGTCTGTGGGCTCACTGCACTTCTGCAGCTCCAGGAGAGAGCAGACACCGTGGCTGCTTTGCAGGGCAGCACCCCAGGCCTGCAACACACCAGGGATGAGTTTGTCGTGTCTCTGCCTAGCGGTGCCAGCTTGTGCAGATGGGAACAGACCAAAGGGGATCTCAGGGATGGAATGAAAGCAGCTGAAAGATACTCARTGGTTCTGTGTGACTGAGTACTGCCATACCACACTGCCCTGAAACCCACCCTGGAGTGGGCCCAGACTCTGCCCAGCCAGACCCAGGCACCCCAAGCATCTGTGTCTCTGCTCCCGTGTCCCTCCCATTCCCATCTCTGCCTCTCSTGGCCGCCAGCAGCTCAGGGCCAGCTCCCAGCCAGCACACACAAGGAGGGTGTCCCTGCAAAGCCGGGTGGTGTGTGTGGGAGGAGGCAGATGTCATCATTATTTTTGTTTTCTTTACACTGCTCCGGAAATATATTGTATTCTCAGATAATCCCGTTCAATTACAGCACAATAAAACACATAATAAAAACGTAATTCATTTTTCCTGAGCGCTCCATCTCCCTGTGTCTTGGCAAGCTATTAAAAATTTGTCTTCATTTTTCTGGCAAGAGCCTTGTACCTTTTCATCTTTAATTTATGAGAGCAGAATAGCTACTGACAAGCCCTTATTGCACGGCGAGGGGCTGCATTATTTATAAGCCGCCAATGGCTGGCTCAGGGGAGATATTTGCAATATTCCAGGGCCAGGAGAAGGAGGGGGAGGGATCCCTGATGTGCTTGTCCCAATACACTTGCTTCCCCACCCTGGGTGGGTGCTGGGTGCAGGTGTTCTCCTCGAGGGGAGCAGCCCCAGCCTGGCCTGTGCCAGCCCCTGCCAGCTGTGGAAGCTGTGGCACAGGGTGGCTTTGGGCTGCCTGGTCCTTACAATGTCATTGCTGCATCTGCCCATCTTGGCCTTTGCAGTGGCTCTYGTTCCTCCATCCTTCAGCACAGGGCACTGAAGAACACAGCTGCCTC